ACAAATTGTTTCATATTTAAGTAAAAGAAAATTGTGCTGTCTATAATACTTAATTAACTTTTTTGAGACAGGAGTAGGGTTGGAGCAAAATATAAAATATATAGATTGTTGCTTTTTTAGTCTTGCAAAATTGCAAACATTTGCTTAATTATATAAAAAAAATAAACATAAATATAATGTTTAAATAAATGCAAAAACGAGAAAAAAGGTTATACACGTTGTCATTTGTAAATGCAGTCATAATTTATGGAAACCTAAACCAGTGAACTGTTCTAATTGTAATTAGGGTTCTATAAATCGACTTTCGAATAATCGAACAATCGACTTTTTGTCGAAAAAAGTCGAAAAGTCGAAGTCGACTATTTTGTTCCAAAAAAGTCGAAAACTCGACTATCGTCTGTGAAAAAAGTCGAAAAGTCGACTTTGTGAATAAAAGTCGAAAAAAGTCGAAAAGTCGAAAAAAGTCGATAAGTCGAATAAAGTCGAAAAAAGTCGAAAAGTCGTAAAAAGTCGAAAAGTCGAAAAAAGTCGGAAAAAGTCGAAAACAGTCGGAAAAAGTCGAAAAATCGAAAATTGTAGAACAAGTCAAAAATAGTCAACAATTTAAAAAAAGTGGAAAAAAAAGTCAAAAACTCTAAAATAGTCGGAAAAACTCGAAAAAAGTCAAAAAATAGTCGGAAAAAAGTAGAAAGAAGTCGAAAATAGTCAAAAAGTCGAAAAGTCGGAAAAAGTCGAAAAGTCGAAAAAGTCGAAAAGTCGAAAAAAGGCGAAAAAAGTCGAAAAAAGTCGAAAAGTCGACTATTTTTAAAATACTTATAGTCGAAAAATCTAAAAGTCGACTTTTATTTAAATGAAAAAAGTCGAAAAATCGACTTTTCATAAAATGCAAAAAGTCGAAAAGTCGACTTTTAACTAAATGAAAAAAGTCGAAAAGTCGACTTTTCGTTTCAACTATAGAACCCTAATTGTAATTAGTTGTATAATAAATAGTTCTACTTATATAAAACTAAGTTTTGCCGATTTATAAGGGACCTATTTCAAGTATTTTCAATAGGCTTCCAAAATTTGGATCCAGAATATATCGAGGGTCTTTAGCATCCGAAATATATCAACAATTTAAAAAAAAATCATGGGTTTTTTCAGAATTCTGATCATATCTACGTTATTTAGGCACCGATTTTGAAAATTTTTGTTAGCATGATTTAATATTTGGATTCAGAAGATATTGGGGATTTTTAGGAATTTGCATACGAAATTTTTTTAAATCTACAAAAAGCATGGGGTTTCCCAGAATGGACCAATTTCGTTGATACACGAAAGTATGTCTAGTATATGGATCCTTAACATATGGATGGGATGTCTTCAGGAACTAGCATCCGAAATATATTAAAATTTTTTAAAAACCATATATTTTCTCAGAACTTTTTTAACATATTTTAGTAATTTATAAACCTATTTCGCTTATTCTTAAAAACGCGTCTAAAATGATCCAATATTTTAATACTGAATATATCAGGGGTCCTCAAGAATTTTCATCCGAAATATGTTAATAATTCTTAAAAATCATGGAGTTACTCAGAATTTTGACTAATATCTTTTATTTAGGAATCAATTTCGTTCATTCTTTAACAAATTTGGATGCAGCAAAATATCGGGGGTCTTCAGGAACTTGCAAGTTTTTTTTTATCATAATTCAGTTATTTATGGGCAGATTTTCCTTATTCTTAAAAGCATATCTAATAGAATGATCCAATATATGGTTCCTAAAGATATCGGGGATTTTCAGAAATTTTTTTCCGAAAAATATTAAAAATTCAAAAAAAATTATGGATTTTCTTGAAATTTTGATCATATTTCAGATATTAATGGATATATTTAGCTTTTTCTTTAAAGCATGTCTAATAGAATAGTCCAATATTTAATTCCTAAAGATATTGGACGATTTTCTGGAATTTGTATCTGAAATAAATTTAAAATTTCAAAAAATATGGATTTTTTCAAAATTTTGATATCTATTATTTAAGGATTGGTTACGTTTATTCTTATAATCGTGTGCAATAGGATGATCTACTATTCAGATCATAGAGATATCGAGGGTCTTTAGGAATTTCAAAATTCTAAAAAAATCATGTGATTTCTTAGAATTTTGATCACTGAACTAGAACTGAACTAGAACTGAACTAGAATTGAACTAGAACTGAACTAGAACTGAACTAGAACTGAACTATGGACCGATTTTGCTTATCCAATATTTGGATCCTAATAATATGAAGGGTTTTTAGGAATTCATATCCGAAATATATTAAAAATTCTAAAAAATTAGAATCAGTTTTCTCAGAATTTTTATCAATCTGTCATTTATGAACCGATTTCGTTGATTCTAAATATCAAATTTCTCGAAATCATACTTGGATACAGAAGATAACGGGGATTCAAAATTCTAAAAAAAAAACATGAGTTTTCTTAGGATTTCTATTATATTTTCGTTATTTAAGCTATTTAAGCGTATATTAAGCTATTTATCGCTATTTCTCGAAGAACATCTGATTGAATGATTCCTGGAGACTTCGAGGGCGTTCAGGGCCCAAAAACGATAATAGTAGTCCCCAATAGAAGACAAACACCTAAAGAAAATCTAAAATTTGCTGTTTATAATTTGTATTTAGTTCACCAGCGCTTATATCACAAATAAATGGGGACTTTGACTTCAAATGGTGGTAGAATAAAATGCCTTACTAATCCTGCTATAAAACAAATTTACTGCATTTACAAACTTAATTTAGAAACTTTTGACTTTAGCAATAATAATATTTTTGTAAAATGTTTAAATTTATAAATAAATATACAATAATTGTGACATCTTTTTAAAAAAAGATGTAAAAAACATGATTTTTAAAAAATTTTTATAAAATATTTTGAATCGTCAGTGTATCATTCAATATAAAAGAAAATATTTAATGAAATTTTAAAATTTCTAATTTTGAATTAACTTAAATAACTAATGAGTATTAAAATTACAAAAATGACTCTTAAATGGTAAAAATTGTGTATAACAACTAAAAATAATGTTTGTTTGAAAAAAAAGCATCAGGCAGTTTTAATAAAGTTTTCTTTTTTAAAGAAAATACTTAGTTTGTTACAAGGTAACTTAGGCAAAATGTTGCTCTTTGAAAATGAAAGATCTTTCTTTGAAACACTATTGAGATTCTAAATAACTTTGTCACTAATTGTATATTGTTATAATCAGTACCATAGAACTTATATTTGCTAATTGTTCAGGAAAAGTTAGTTTAAACAATGTTGAGAGCAACATTTTAGACCAAAAAAACATAATAATAATTAAAATAAACTGCCTATTTAATTACTATTTAGAAGGTAATAAAAGCATTTTTAATTTTTCCGCTTCACTTAATAACATAGCTGATTCTTTATGCTTACCGCCCAATAATGAATGCATTTCGAAAGTTTCCTTTTCATCATCGTCATCATCGGCGATATTATTATAATGATTACTTTTACGATGTTGATTTTTACTGGACAATTGACGCATACATTTTTCAAATTCTCCTTCACCAAAAGAGGACTGTAGCGTCTGTGTAGCTATATCAAAGGCATTAGCTTGTATGCCTACATCACAGCTAGTTTTACTATTGCGTGAATTTGGTTTACCCGTGGAAATACCCGAGTAAGAACTGTTTAACATAATATTGAGAGGTAAATCTAATTCGACTGATGAATAAGAGTCTTCTGATAAACTATTGTTATTATGGGCCGCTATAGAAAGTTCACGTTTAAGATGTAAATTCAAATCGGAGGTATTCGTTATGTCTAGTTCGTATTTCGAGTTGGAAGACTTGTGTTTTTGTGAATTTAAACTGTTGTTATTGTGACGTCTTAGAGACTTTTTATGTCCCGAGGAGCAGCCCGCTTGAGATTTTCTCGATTGTTTGCTGCGTGTGGAATTACGTGAATTTCTATTATTTGCCGATTCATTAGATTTTTGCATATTTTTTATTAGAGCTTCATAAGCTGCCTGTTTTTTTGTTTTATTTTCCGTTAAATCATTGATTTCTTCAATTCTGGGACCATAATCCTCTTCCTCATAGTCGTCATCATTGTCACTTAAATCTTGCTGCTTAAGTACGACATCTAAACGTGAGTCTTGTATTTTAAAAGAAGCCCTAGACGTCTCTTCATCCGAAGTTGTGGTCATGCCTTGATTTTGTAAAAATGGTATTATTAATTGTCCATTCTTGGCTAAAAATTCGGTAATATCAGCGGGATCTAAGCCAGCATTGGCTGAACGTCTTTTTGTGGAATTATGTTTTTTGGTACTTTGTGCAAAGAGTCCCACTTTATGACTAGCATTTGGGTAAGTAGTTTTCTTCAGAGCAATTACTTGAGATTCTATGGAAGTACTACTCTCCCTTCGGCCACTGTATTTACGGCCGGTAGCTGTAATAAAATCCCTTCTTCTTTGGGATCTTTTACCAGAAGCAGCCGCATGTTTGGAGTGATGATGGTGGTGATGATGATGACCCGATCTAGATCTAGAGGCAACTTTAGTTTTCATTTCTTGGATTTTCACCGAAACTTGTGAATCCACAGAATTTCTGCGTGACTCCACCGAAACATGTCTGACACTAAAACTAATTTCAGAATCTAAAGAGTTTTTGCGAGGACCTTGACTCGAGCTATTGGTAGCACCCGTAGCTCCCGTTAAAGCCATGCGCCGTTTAACAAATTGCGGCAAATAATTAGCCCAGGTAGAACTGATTTCATTAGTTTCTGAGGAATTCAAGTCGTTGACATCAAAGTTTAAACCCACTGGATCGGTATGAGTATTATAAAGGGTTATAGAGAGCCTCCCTTTATCCTCGAATTCTTTACGTTTAGCCCAGGTTTGTGCTATTACTTTATGTTTGGGCATTTTCACTTCCTCGTTGACATCTTTGCCACACTTTTTTCTTAAATAACGTTTCCAAGTCTCCACCGAACTG